ATAATACCTAATAAATCTTTTGGCCATTTATTTGAAAATAACAATACAATAAATAGCAAATAATTTATGACAGTAGTTATTAAAAATATAAAAATATTTTAACTGAAAAATATTTTAAAAAAAATTCGAACCAAATATAAAATCAAAAGTTATTTTAAATCAGTAATTGAATATTTATTTTGAATTTTTTTTTTTTGTTTCCTTTGTAATATCTTTAATTAAAAAATTGATTAATGTTATTTTCTGTTAATAATTAATTTTTGTAATTGAATTTTAAAAAAATTTTGCTTATGAGTGTTGATTAGAATTTTCAATCAAGTTTTGAGTAGTGTGTTTGGTTATGAGCTATAACAATTTGAATTAAGTTTTGAAAAGTATTTCCAAAACTCATAACTAAATAGATTTTCTTATTTTACATGTCACATCAAATATTAAAAACTCAATTAAGGCACTGTTTGGGAAGTGAGTTTATGGGTTTTTTTGGCTATTTTAACCACAAAAGACAAAATAGGCTATTTTAGTCACAACAAACAAAACATCACATCCAACCCATATTCATTACACTATTCTCTCACAAAAAAAGTTAAAAAAGCCAAAAAGCCCTTCCCAAACCAAACTTTTTAGCCCAGGCTAAAATAGCCAAAAAAGCCAAAAAACTAACCTACTTCCCAAACGGATGCTAAACATTCAACTCAAAACTCATTTCAAAACTATTTTCAAAACTTATAAGTAATCAAATTTTCTACACTCAAATCATAATTTCAAAACTCATAAACTCAAAATATAACTCTATTCTCAAATTATATTTTAGAAAACTCTACCAAACGCAATTAAAAATTTTATTTTCTCTCTACTTTTTGCACATCTTTTCGTAAAAAATTAAAAAAATTCATTCCAAACGTACTGATTTTTTTACCTCATATTTTAGCCAAAAAATTACTAAAATAACCTGTTCCCAAACGAGGCTTTGGTTATTTTTTTGGCACAATAAACTTTTCTCTATTTATTCTCTTATTTTAACTATCATTTTAAAATAACAAGCTATATAATCAAACTTATTTAAAGTTACACACTACAAATTAAAATAACATAATGCATAATCATGAAAAAAGAGAAAGATTGAACATATAATAATTTGAGCTGTTGTGCCATCATTTTTATACTTGATCATTCATTTTTTAAAAAAATATTTTTGTTATTAATACGTTCTAGATGTCAAATTTTAAAAATTTTATTTTCATGTTTGATTTTCGTGTGCCTTTTTATTTTTATAAGACAAATTTGTTAAGTTGACATGGTTAAAAAGACAAAAATTAAATTAATTTCGAGTAATAATTTCAAAGATATGCGAGTAATATCATTCGTAAAATTATAAATAAGTGAAACAAACAATTATTAAGGCCAAGTTTGAGAAGATTAAATAAGTGCACTTTTTGACTTTTTATGAAATATGAGTTGGATTTGGGTTGGGTTTGAAGTGATGTGTTAGAGAGGTGATGTGACTTAAATAAGATGATGTGACTTAAATAGGATAGTGACTTTTTGACTTTTTAGATTTTTTGGAGGATGCCAAACTTGGCCTAATAATGTAGGACAAAGTGTACCTGCTGTGCTCTAAGCACAGCAGGGTGTGCTGTGCGGGTAAAACGGCATAGTTTTGATGCTTTTGTTTTGTTTTTTATTCTTTTTAAGTTATTGTAAAGTTTCTTTAATAGCTTAGTTTTGTGGTTTGAAACAAAACAAGATAAAATCTTACAAATCTTTAAAGGAAAACACTTATTGATATATTTTTATTTCATTTTTATGAGATTTAATGAGTATTTATTGACTAATATTTTTGACATTTAAAAAAAAAAGAAGATGATACTAGTTTTTTTTTTTTTTTGACAGTAGGTTGATTTTTAAAAAATCAAATGTTACTAGTTGTATTTTTTTTACATTGATATTTATTAAAATATAACTATGTATATTTTATTCTCCACGGACTAAAGTATAATTATTTGTCAGTGTTGATAAATTTAAAAATAATATATGTAAAAAACGAAAAACATATTGTAGATGACTTGTTAATTTTATGTATTTATTTGTGAAAAATAAAATATAGTTAGTTACACTCTAATAAATATCAATGTAAAAAAAAAAAAAGAGGAATGAAAAGTGTTTAGTCCAAATATTAGATTAGACATCATTGTTAGGGCGCTTAAGCTCCATCATGGATTTCGTTTCGATCATCCGAATCATTCATTTTTTAGGTCACTTTGGATAGATCACCCATACAAAAAAATTAAGTTGATTTGATTTACATCGTTATATAATTTTTTTATATTTGTCTTTGAAAAAAGATTTGGTTTATCTTCAAATCATTCCTATTGTTCATTTTTTTCAGAGACAAATATAATAAAATTATATAGTTACAGAGATCCAATCAACTTGAATTTTTTGGTGGATAATTTACACATAGTAAACTAAAAAAATAAACAGTTCAGATGATAAAAATGAGACTCATGGTAGATTTCATGGACTTGAACAGTGTTATCCAGTCCAAAAATTGAATTGGAGACAACCTATTGCCAAAAAAAAAAAGGGCAAATTACATATACACCCCTCGAGGTTTGGTTAAATTACAGATACCCCCCTGAGGTTTCGGAAATTACATCCCGCCCCCTGAGGTTTGTATTTTCATAACAATTTACCCCCTGAGGTTTATATTTCATAACAAATTACCCCCTAATTTCTTATGCAAATATAACATTCAGGGGGGAATTCGTAATTTCTCAAACCTCAGGGGGGTATTTGTAATTTAGCCAAACCTCGAGGGGTGTATATGTAATTTGCCCAAAAAAGAAACTAGTCTCATCTAATTTTTTTTTTTAAAATGCCAAAAATATTAGTCAATAAATACTCATTAAATCTCATAAAAATGAAATAAAAATATATCAATAAATGTTTTCCTTTGAATATTTGTGAGGTTTTATCTTTGTTTTGTTTCAAACCACAAAATTAGACTGTTAAAGAAACTTTACAACAATTTAAAAAAAAAAAAAAAAGCGTCAAAGCTATGCCGTTTTGCCCGCACAGCCCACCCTGCTGTGCTTAGAGCACAGCAGGTACCCCTTGTCCAATAATGTAATCTTTTCCGATACAAATTTAATACACACAAAAAATTTTACATCATATTTAGGGTTGGTTTGGGAAGTGAGTTGACTTTTTGGCTTTTTAATTTTTTTGGCTATTTTAGTCTGAGCTAAAAAACTTGGTTTGAGAAGGGCTTTTTGACTTTTTGACTTTTTTTGTGAGAGAAGAATGTAATGATTATGGGTTGGATGTGATGTTTTGTTTGTTGTGGTTAAAATAGTCTATTTTGTCTTTTATGGCTAAAATAGTCAAAAAAAACCCACAACCTATCTTCCCAAACGAAGCCTTAAGGTCTATTTTAGGAAGTGTTAAATAGGTTTTTTTTTATTTATTACCAAAAACGTGCAAAAATAAAAGAGTGATGTGATATAAATAAATCAAAAAATTAATAATCTAGTTTATAATTAAAATAGTCTATTTTATCTTTTATGGCTAAAATAGCCAAAAAAAACCCACAACCTATCTTCCCAAACGAAGCCTTAAGGTCTATTTTAGGAAGTGTTAAATAGGTTTTTTTTTATTTATTACCAAAAACGTGCAAAAATAAAAGAGTGATGTGATATAAATAAATCAAAAAATTAATAATCTAGTTTATAAATTACTTCCCCAAAAGACCTAAATTATTATAAAAATAAAATAAAAATATTAGAAATTTCAAAAATTTTATTAAATTTCTATCTTACATACCCATGCGAGACAAACATTTTGGAACTTTTATGCTATGTTTAGTTGGGGAATTTAAAGAGAAATTCGGAAAGAGAAATGAAAAAGATAATTTCATATATTTTTTTCTTTCTTCCCCTCCCCCCCTAAATCTCTTCCTAAATTTCCAGCCAAACCTAAGTAAAATTGGTGGGTATTTATCATTTTTTTCCTTCTTCCCCTCCCCCCTAAATCTCTTCCTAAATTCCCAGCCAAACCTAAGTAAAATTGGTGGGTATTTATCATTATTCAAAATAAAATTCACTATGTTTGTTTTCAATTTTTTGAAAATACTTTATAAAAAATTTTACTTTCTTGTTTTCCTTATTTTTTTTGTTTTTATTGAATTTTTTAATATTTTGAGATATTTTTTTAATTTTTAGACACACCTAACATAAATATACTTAAAAAGTATAATTTTTATGAAAAAATTTACTAAATACCAAAATATAATAAAAATACGAAAAATTCAGTATATTTTTCATATTTTTATTAATTTTTTAAAATATTTTTCATAATTTTTTATTTTTAAATATATCTAAATAAAGTGTATCTAAAAAAAATAAAAAAATACATAAAATTTTAAAAATATTCACTAAAACTAAAACACAATTTTAAAAAAAATTAAATTCAAAAAACTAAAACTAAACACAATTTCGTCCTGATAAAAAAAAAAAAACACAGAGTTTCGTCCAAACAAAATTTTCTCCTGCATAGCAACAGTCCTCGGGATACGATTCAAAAAATACTTTTAGTGAATGACTATGGTTGGCTTCACTTTTTAAAAAAAAAAAATTTAAATTTTTTTTTTTCGTATTTTTTTATTTTTATTGATTTTTTTGTAATATTTTAAATAATTTTTAAAATATTTAGACATACCTAACTTAGATGTATCTAAAAAATAAAAAATTTATGAAAAAAATCTTTTAAAAATTCACTAAATACCCAAAATATATATAAAAAAAAAAGAAAATTCAGTACATTTTTTGTATCTATTAATTTTTAAAGTACATCTAAAAAATAAAAAAATATTTAAAATTTAAAAAATATTCACTAAAAATAAAAAAACACAAAACCAAAAAACTTAATTTTTAAAAAATTTAATTCAAAAACTCAAACCAGAATCTCTTTCCCACCGCACAAACGCTCTCTCTCTCTCTCTCTCTCTCTCTCTCTCTCTTCGCATTTTCTGAAGCTTCCACGATTTCTGATCATTTTCCCAAACTCCACCAATTTTCTTTTCTTTATAAATTCTTCTGATGCTTTCCTCTAACTCTATAAATGCATCTATTGAAAACCCTAGTTCCCACCCAAACCCCTCTCTCTCTCTCTCTCTCTCAACCTTTATCTCTCCATCCTCGCCACCACACAAACCAATACGCAAACGACCCACCGCATCTTCTCTCTCTCCAAAATCAACGGCTCAGATTTCTGGGTTCCACTCAAATTTTCCTTTTTAGAATGTTTCTTCTGTGTCAATTCTAAGCCCATTTTGATTCTTGTTTTTTTCCTCTTCGATTTTGTTGATTGATTCTCAGTCTTTTTATGGCTATTCCTTACCCTCATTTCATTGTAACCGACAATCCAACAGTTGATACGCCGATCACGGTTCCCTCTCCTTCTCTCCCTCCCTTGATTCTCACCCAAGACGAGCTTAAAAAAGTCGCCGCCTACAAGGCCGTCGAGTTCGTCAAATCAGGCATGGTTTTAGGCTTGGGAACTGGGTCTACGGCCAAACACGCCGTCGATAAAATCGGCCAACTATTGCGCCAAGGCGATCTCAAGGACATTGTTGGAATACCCACTTCCAAGATGACCCACGAGCAAGCTCTGTCTTTGGGAATTCCTCTATCTGACCTCGATTCACACCCTGTTCTCGATCTGGCAATCGATGGTGCTGATGAGGTCGATCCCTATATGAATTTGGTGAAAGGACGAGGTGGGTCGTTGCTGAGAGAGAAGATGATTGAGGGTTGTTGCAAGAAATTCGTTGTTGTTGTTGATGAATCGAAGTTGGTTAAGCATTTAGGGGGTAGTGGGTTAGCTATGCCGGTTGAGATTGTGCCTTTTTGTTGGAAATTCACAGCCCAAAGGCTTCAATTGTTGTTTAACGAAGTGGGTTGTGTTGCAAAGCTTAGGACTTGTAGCGAAAATGGTCAACCATTTGTGACTGATAATGGGAACTATATAATTGATTTGTATTTTGAGAAAGATCTCGGGGATTTGAATGCTGCCAGTGATGCAATTCTCAGAAACCCTGGTGTTGTTGAGCATGGGATGTTTCTGGGTATGGCTACCACTGTTATTATTGCCGGTGGACGCGGCGTTACGGTGAAGAACAAGTAATGTGAAGCCAGAGTATTAGAGGTAGTTTTACTGATCAAGTTTGAATTGGGTACCTAACATATTATTATTAAATGTAGGTTATTTAAAATTTGCTTTTTCTATTGTGGAAAAGCAGAAGCATTGTTAGTTATCAATGTAACATGGGGGAAGATTTTAAATGTTTTAGTACGAATTGATGCTACTATTGGGGAATTTCACCCCAAGTTTTGTTGTTGGCTCGTTCCCAAATTTAATGAGAATGAATAGAAATTTTGGAACTTTGTTCACAAATATTTCTTTCCTGGGCTTATATATTTTTTTAATGCTTACTATTGTGTTTCAGTTGTCAATTCTTGTGTTTGTAGATGATTTTGAGTAATGAAGTCAGATGATTTTGCCAGATATATTACTGTGTTAATTGATTTCTTGATGTGATATGAGTTGTATTTGCTCTCTGACTGTAACTACTTATTTTCACATTTGCTTGTTCAATTGATAGCTATATTCAGGAAAAGACACTGGACTAAATTTCTGTGTGATTTAAAAGATGAAGCTTGATTTTTGGAGTGGGGCTTGTACCCCTTAGCATATGATGAATCTTCTAATTCTTTAAACTGACTTCATTGATATTCATAATGCTTTCGTATCAGGGAAGGAAAAAAAAAAAAAAATTGCCAAACAGAGAGTGAGAATTTAATAATTTCCAAACAGAGGCTCTGTTTTTGGGGCTTTATTTTGACTGCTGATAACCCTTTAAAGGGCTTGAATAATTTGGATACATGTTGCTGATTGTGATTTTCAGCAAGTCTCCATGACCATGGGTGTTTTCTGTATTAGTAACTGACAATAGAACATTTAGGTTTACAATCTGTTTCAAATTTACCCATGTGGATTCACTGCCTCGCTAAACTAATTGATTCACAATTTTGAAATTGCGGATAGAAAAACTGTATAAAGCATTTAAAAAAGTTTATTTTTTGTAACACCCTGTTGGATTTTAGTATTGTGGTAAATAGTAGGTAACCTCTTGGTCGAAATGGGACATAAAAGATGATCCTTTCGTCAAATTTTCACTAAGCTTTCTAGGTTCCAGTAAGGCATACCAAATCTTTTGAAGGTTGTAAAAACTTGAAGTGATTTAACTTCTATCACAACAGTGGTAGAGATGCCCAACCAACCCGCATCATATTTATTATCAATGTGATGGTTCATAGAAAAATTTATAAATTCTCAGTGTAATTGGAATGAAAATATAGCGTGATCCACTGTTTGAATTGAACCTTTGTTCCATGGAATTCATTACATTGGAGTCAAGAGAGGAGTTGTGCAGTTTTCTCCAGTAGAGCTGGAGCAGGAGGTTTACAAGAGTTCTCTTCAATGCAGTTGAACATTCTCCGAGCCATTTTCTGTTTGCTGTCTTTTCTGGGTGAGCTACCTCTTTAGTTCTAGTTCATGAATATGCTCTCAAATCAGACATTGACAGTCTTACACATGCACGTATGAAGGGGGAATTTTTTTTCTTCTTATTTTAGCTGATTTTTGGTATTAATAACTGTTTGTTTACTTTTTAACAGACCATTAAATTTGCACATGTGGAGACTGCATTGAGTTTGTGGTCATCTCTCTCTCTCTCTATCTCATCAATTTGGTATGCAACTTAATGATGGGCATCGGCCTTTCTGGTCACGCTGACATTCTCTGTCCTGTTCTATGAAATGTTTATGAAGTGTCAGTTTTCTCTTGCACAAACCACCCTCCTGCAGACAAACATGGGCAATTAAGTTATATATATTTTACTCTTTTTATTTTTTTTGGATCCTCAATATTGAAATTGCAGAGGAAAAATTTTATGCACTTAATTAGTCTGCATTTCTAACATCTTGTGCTTTAGTGTTTTCCGAAACTAGTATGGAAGACATTTATAATGTTTACTTGTAGTTTACATTTTTGGAATGTCTATATGGGCCACTGATTTTTTTGAAGGTTTTGGGGATCTTTGCTTAGCTGATCACAATAATTAACGATATAGCTCACATACCCAAGGTATATTTTGTTATCAATGTGATATTTTGTCCAGAAGGAAATATTATGTAAGCTTTTCTATTTTTGTTTTTAAAAAAATTTGTCCAGAAGGAAAAGACACTGGACTAAATTTCTTAGTGATTTAAAAGATCAAGCTTGATTTTTGGAGTGGAGCTTGTAACCCCCTAGCATATGATGAATCTGCTAGTTCGTTCTCATCTGACTTCATTGATATTCATAATGCTTTCAGAACATAAAATTTCACTGTAATACTCAAGGAAGCTCTAATTTTTAGACTTTATTTTCACTGCTGATAGCCCTTTGACGGGCTTGAATAATTAGGATACATGTTACCAAATGTGATTTTGAACAAGTCTCCATGGCCATGAGTGTTTTCTAATAGCAACATAACACAGAACATTTAGGTTTACAATCAATTTCAAATTTATCCATATGGATTCACTCCCTCGCCTACTTGATTAACAATTTTAAACATCAAGATCGAAAAACTGTTTTAAGGCATTCGAAAAAGTTCGCTTTTTTGTGAAACTCTTTGTTGGATCTTTGTTTTGTGGTAGACAGTAGCTAACAACTTGGTTAAAATGTTACATAAAAGATGTTTCTTTGTTACCAAGCTTTCTAGGTACAAGGCATACCAATTTTTTTAAAGATTGTAAACTTGTAGTGAATTTAGAGTAATGTTATACTTAAACAAAAAATTCATACGTAATGATGTGACTCATTGTAAACCTTTCACTTTAAAACAAAACACCATTGAAGATGGATTTATTTATAATCATAACATTGTCACATCATTCTTGTCAAGTTTTTTGTATGAATTTTATGTATGTTTAGAATTTTCCGTGATTTTAACTTCCAACCAATAACAGTTGAAGAGGTGCCCCAACCTACCTGCAGTCATATTTCTTATTAATGTGATGGGCCTCCATAGAAACATTTGAAAAGCTTGGTGCATTTTGAAAGAAAGTATAATGAGATCCACTATTTGAATTGAACCTTTGCTTTATGGAATTCATGTGCGGGAGGTTTACAAGAGTACTACTCGGCAGTGCAGTTGAACATTTTGTGTGTATTCGTGGATCAAAGCCATCTTCTGTTTGGGTAAGCTACCTCTTTTGGTCTAGTTCATGAAAATACACTTGATTTTAAAGTCTCACACGAAGATATGAATTTCTTATTTTAGCTGATTTTTGGTATTAATAACTGTTTGCTAACGGATCATTCAACTTGCACATGTTGAAACTGCTTTGAGTTTTTGGTCATTTCTCTCTCTCTCTCTCTCTCTGATCAATTTTGTGATGCAACTCATGCATGATGGTCATTGGCCTTGCTAGTCATGCTAATATTCTGTGTCCTGTTATATGAAATGGTTATCAAGTCAGTTTTATCTTGCACGAACTACCCTCCTGCGCTACGAAGCACAAGTCATTTCTAAGGTGACGTGTCTTCATCGGACACCAACACTCCCCTTGAGAGTAGATACGTAAACTTATTAGCAAAAGACTCTTGAGGAAGAAAATATTGCAATTGTATATTTGTTGTAATTTGTTCGATTTTTAACTATTATGGTCAATACTCTTAAAATTCATGCAGGAGAGTTATATACAAGATTTATTTAGTATAAAGTAATTATTATTTTGTATATATTATGTATGACACATATATAACTATATAACATATACAGAAAATTATAGAATAGTCTTGGGAGTATCACATGGTCATACTCCCTCACCAATCACCATTTATTATGCCCGCTCATGTTCCTCAATCACCCAATACAAATAATTAATGCCCCACCTTCTTCACTAATCATACTACCATGGAATAGTGTACTTTTGTACCATGTTTGAATTGTGTCCGTATCCTACTTGTTTGAAATTTTCCACGTCAATGTGTCCGTTCAAATGAACAAAGGCTTAAGAAGTGAGAGTTCATTTTCTCTTTGAATGAATTGTTCAGAATTGATTTTTATGCTGTGTTTGATTGAGGGATTCGGGAAGGGATTCCGAAAGAAAAAATGTGTGAAACTAAGTGAAATATAAATATATTTTATTAAAATTTCATCTCTATTTTTCTTTTTCCTTTCCAAATCCCTTTTAAATCTCCCAAACAAATACAGTATTAAGAGGAAAAAAAAATAAAAAAAATACTGAACCTTGAATTCTTTTGAAGTGGTGACACGTCATAGTGATTACTTCTTGTTTGTGTTTCTGCAATGTCAGTATGAGCTTCTGATTTTTCTGAAGGTCCTGGGAATCTTTGCTTAATTGATCACAAGAAATGGTGATGTAATTACCATATATGCATCTTATTCTACATTTTTGTGATATATGTTTGAGTAATTTTGTGACAAATGTTACATAATATATATATATATATATATTTTTTTGTAAAATTATAACAATTTATAGTTTAGAAATGACGTAAAGCATTTTGTAGCCATGTTCCGTATTTTTTGTGATGGTTGAGTTTTGTTGGAAGAGTTCAGATTGGTTCTCTGCTCATTCTGTAGCTAAGAGAAGAGGTTCAGGAGAGGGAGTCCTTTATGGAGAGAGTTCTATGTTAAAAAGTGTACCAAATTGTGATTAGTCCTAAACATTGTTAGATTAAGCAATGTAAATTAGTGCAAGACATTCACAAAAGAGATAAAATGCTACCATACTTTCATTTATTTATTTATATCATAATCATAAAAGAGCAGACAGACAGAACCATTACATTATGTAGCAAAAACCCCACATCCCAAAGCCACAAAACCCATCCAAATAAAGACATATAATCTACTTATTATTGTTATCACCCTTTGGAGCACCATGCAGACCAGAAAAGTAACCCTGAGGGTTGCCCTCAAAATCAGCCCTTGATATATATCTTCCGTCTCCTCCGGGAGCCTTCATCACTCCTCCTGACCCTCCACCACCACCAGTGCCAGTGCCGCTGCCCTTTGAAAAGGAACCTCCTGCACCACCACCACTTTTTCCTCCTCCCCCTTTGCCTCCACCACCTTTGCCACCACCACTGCCTTTGCCACCCATTAGGTATACAGTTTTTTGGTTAGACTAGAGAGAAGATAATTAAAGAGGGATGGGATGGTTAGCTATATAGAGAGAGGGGGTAATGATGATATTTAATGGCCATTCATTGATTTTGGGAGTTTGATGGACTTCTTCTAGTAAACTTAAACGCCATTGGTGTAAATTTAAAATTGGTATGATGTGGATCACACTTCAAATGATTTTGGTCTATAGATGTATTAATTTGGATATTTTTTAAGTAATTTTTCTAAATATGTAGTATTGTGGATGGTGTAGATTTAAAGTTGGTAAAATATGGATCACATTTCCAATGATTTTGGTTCATAGATGTACTATTCAGGATATTTTTCTGAATAATTTTTTGAATGTGTAGCATTGTTGATTCATTTAATACTCTGCAGAAATTCATTTGAAGCATTGATCTCAGTCTTATTTGTGGCTGCCCTTATATCTCTCGTGTTTCCTTTCTCTTATTAAATTGTGTATTAAAAAACAACAATGTTAGGCATCATGAAAAATCTTTCATGAAAATAATCATGAAAGTTTTGTGACCCTTGAATTACACTTAGAATAAAGCACCATGCACTAATCAAGGTAATCCAAGGATCATAAATCTTTATGATTATTTTCATGAAAAAATTTTCATAATCCCTAATTTTTCTCATTAGAAAATTAATAGAACCCATAGATCGATTCAAATCACAAATTAATGAAACCTTAGTACATTCATGTGATTTTATTTTTTATTTTTGAAAAAATAGAAATAATAATAAAATTTTATAGCTTATAAACATAGATTAAAACCTTAGCAAAATTGGGCCTTCGTTGGGCTTGGACAAATATAGTGCTAGGTTATAATTTTTTAAACGGTCAATTAATTTTAGCTAATTATAAAGGGATCAACTTTATTTGAAAGAATATATATATATATATATATATATTTTCAATGATTTTTCTGACTACAATGGGTTCAATTGGTCACCATTGGATGTTGGCGCCATCTACGACTACCACTCTGTAATGATGAAGCCAAATGTATACCGCAAACAAAACAAATTGTTATCTATTATGAATTTTTAATTCCATTCAAAATGTAAGGTGTGTGATATATATTTAAATTTAGCGAGACATAAATTACATTTTTAATAAATGTAGTTTATTATTATTATTATTTTTTGGATAATTTTTTAAAGTATATAGTATTTGATTTGTTTTGGATGCCCCAGTGGTAAGGACGCACACGTGACTGTGTAGGTAAGACGCACGGTCACGGATTCGATTCCCCACTGGGTGAGTGCTTGCAGCAGTTTGAAAATGGTATACGGCTTCCTCCGGGCTACTTACCTCGCAGAATTAGTCCTGACTTTCCGAAAAATCAGAGGGTTAGGGATACCACACGGCTTCCTCCGGACTACTTACCTCGTAAGATTAGTCCTGGCTTCCCGAAAAATCAGAGGGTTGGGTATACCTGCGTTATCCAAAAAAAAAAAAAAAATATATATAGTATTGTTGTTATGATAAAAATTGACATGTAAAAATTAAAATAATATGATTATGATAATTATATTTATATATCATAAATTTTTTATGATATATTTGAGTGGAAAGTTGGCATGTAACACCCCAATGTTCAAGGAATATATATGATTCCAACTATGTAACATGTCATAATTTGATCCCATAGGCCTTGTTATTCCACGTTTGGTACTTAGTTTGCCAACATGTCATAATCAAATGGTGATGAATGGTTCTTGATTATTTAAAAGTGAGAAATCAAATTGTCAATTAAAAATAAAAAGGGATTAAACCGTGCTATTTCTACAGATTCAAATCAATTTACAGGTTCTATAAATTTTTTAATACACCCTTGTTATAAAAAATAAAAAAAAGCATCACACGGTCTAGCAAAGAAAAGGAAAGAAAATGGAAACAGAAGACATATAAGGGGTGGCCAAACATAGGACTATGGTCAATGCATTACAACATATAAGATTTTTAGAGATCAAATATTTTGGCTTCTAAAAATGAAAATTTTGTTTCAAAAGACATTTAGAGACTAATTTTCATCGTTATGAGGATAGTCGCTAAAAGATCGTTTCGAAAAGTCAAAAATAAGGTTTTTAGCGACAAAATTTTGAAAATGTCACTAATAAATATACTTTCAGGGATAAAATAATTTAGTCTCAAAATGGTTTATTTTTTTAGACAAAAAATTTGGTCCCAAAATGATAAAAATTCATCACTAATATCTAATTTTTGTTGCTAAAAATATAATGACACTTTCGCAACAAAATTATTTGGTCCCTAAAAATAATTGCCTCTAAATTTTAGTGTCTAAAACATTAATTTTTTGTAGTGATGGTTCAATGAATTTCAAGTAGTATTAAATGAATCGGCTAGTAATTTGTGCTTGCAATGCTCTGATTTACATGAAAAGAAAGAAAGAAATGGGAGTATGCAAAGGAGTGATGTTTCAGTTTACAAGAAGAAGAAGTCTATCAAACTCCAAGAATTAATCAATGAATGGGCCATTAAATTACTACACCCACTATCATCACTTCACTTACCCCCTTTCCAAAAATATTGTCGAGATGATTATGAAAAATCCTCCATTGTTAGATTACACATAATAAAACATTATATACTAATCAAAGAATGAAAAATTTTCATAAAATATTTCATGATATTTTTTTCATAATTCCTAATATTATTTCCTCTATATATAGCTAACCATCACATCCCTCTTTCATTATCTTCTTTTATAATTCAACCAAAAAAAATGGATAGCAAAGAAAGTGGTGGGGGCAAAGGTGGTGCAGCCCAAAGTGGTGGAGTAGGTATCTCTTCTAAGGGCGGTGGCACTGGCACTGGCGGTAGTGGAGGGTTAGGAGGAATGATGAAGGCTCTAGGCGGAGATGGAGCATATATATCAAGAACTGGTTTTGAAAACGACCCTCAGGGTTACTTCTCTGGTCTTCATGGTGCTCCAAAGGCTAATAATAATACTAATAATAATAAGTAGATTATGTTTCTATTTTGATGGCTTTTGGACATAGGTTTAGCTAATGTAATGGCTCTAGGTGGTCTTTATAATTTTTTTTTTTTTATCAGCAAAGAAAAATTTCATTAAAAAACATGAAATTAAAGGTACAGAAAGATGACAGAAATCGAGAGAGATTCGAGATAGTACAGACTATCCCTACTACTGCTACTCGCAACCATCTAACGAACCCCTCGGCTTCACGATATAAAAGATTAAACAAAAAAATAAAAAGGATTAAGAAGAACTTCACACCAAACACCAAACCCAAATCCCCTAACACACCAACCCAACCACTGCAAACCCAAACAGGACAGACACCCAAACAGGACCTCCACCCAAGCAGGACAAACACCAAATATCAACCACTGCTAACAATAAAAAAAAAAACCATCAACCCTCTAGAATAAAAAAAAAACCCTTACAAACCAAACACACCACTACGACACACCCAGCACAAAACCACCACTAACCAATACAACCCGAGACCCATCAAGAGATTAAAAACAATGCACCCCACTAACTCTCACTCTCTCTCCCTTACACCAGCTAAGTTTTCCTTCTGATTTTGGCTTTGTTCCTCATCTCCATCTCGATAAAATCCTTCAGGAAAATGTCTTCTCTACCACCAAAATCGATCTGCAATTTCAGGAAAATGTCTTCTTTATAATTATGATATATAAATAAAACACAGTATCTCTTTTGTGAAAATCTTCCTTTTGAAATGGTTGTTTAAACTTTGTTTCATCTAGCAGTATATCGTGAGGGAGACTAATTTCATTGTGAGCACTTTTTAATGTTGCATCTAACATAGCATTTTAACAACATCATTGGGCTATGTGTTATAATTATGAGGTGTCATAATTCTGACCAATTGTATTATTCAAACCAAATCAGATTAGTGTTCCAATCAAATAAAGATTGGCTGGATAAATATATTTTCTTAGGGCTGTGTTTAGTTAAATTAAATATATTTAAGGGCTATGTGTTCTAACCATTTGTGCTAACTGCTATTATTGGATTGTAGAAAATTTTGATATTTTGTGAATAATTATTGTTGATTCTATACCAAAGATGCTACGTACACAAAATTAGAACATAAAAGTGTATGTAAATAAATCTTAGCTACTATGCATTTCTATTTTGCTCTAATGCTATACACCCAACATTTTTTATTGTATGCAAAATGGGGGTTGATTTCATGGAAGTGAAGACTCCAAATTTTAGCTACCCCATTGATGAGTAGGCATGCAGATATTTCTAACAATGAAAGAATAGTATATAAATTAGGTGCAATCACTATATCATTTATGTAGTTCTCCATAAAGATATGTACATATGCAAGCAGATTTTTTTTTTTTTTAATTTATTTTTTGTTATTTGGGGTTGTCTCTTGCTATGTGGTTGGTCCTCCTTCAAGAATCTAACCACGTCACTTTTATATAACTCTTTATAGTTTTAACTCCAAATGCAATTTGTCCATGTGTCAACAAAAAGACAAGTGTCATTTAGGGTTTATCTATAAATAAATTTGTTTCTTATGGATCAAACCCTAGTTTAAGAGGAATACTTTTAAATGGTTTGATCTCTAATTGACACTTATTATTTGCCTTAAATAACCGCTTTAAAGACGAAAAATATTGAGTGTTACAGTAACACATTTTATGTAGTGTCGTCGATTAATAAAAAGTCACAAATGTATTAAGTGGTCAATTTTTGTCTCCAACTAATCCAATAATATTGTGATCCTAATCGTAAATTAATAATACTCACTGTCCCGTCTAAAAGTTGATTTTTAGCGACCAAAAATACTTTTAGTCGCCGTAGGTATAGATTTGGCTACTAAAACCTTTAGTCGGCAAATGTAAAATAAAAAATTAATTTTTACCTTTTGAAAGTTGATTTTCAGCGACCCAAAATAATTTTAGTCACCGTAGGTATAGATTTGGCTACAAAAACCTTTAGTCGGCAAATGTAAAATAAAAAATTAATTTTTACCTTTTGGCGACCAAAATTTTAGTCCCCAAAAGTTGATTTTCAGTGACCAAAAATAATTTTAGTCGCCCAAAAATTAAAATATTTGGAGGGAGATATTTTAAATTTTAGAGGGATTTGAAAAATTAATTGGCGACTAAAAAGTGTTAGTCGCTAATGGTGTAATATATATAAATATATATAACATTCGCTCCTGTTCTTTGTTTATTCTCCTTCACCACACCAAACCTCACCCCATTTCACATGACCACAGACCACCGCCACCGCCACCGTCTCAGACGGCAACGACCACTGCCGCAGATTGCCGCCGCCACCGCCACCGCCACCTCTGCAGATCGCCATCGCCATTGCTGCAGAGCACAGGTTCTCTCTCTTTCTCTTTCTCTCTCTCTCTCTCTGCGCGCTCACTCTTGCTCTCTTGCTCTCTCTTTCGATCGAGCTGTGTCTGTGTCTGTGTCTCCCTTCCTCTATTTCCCCCTTTCTGATTGTTGCTCTAAGGTTTTATATTCTTGATTCAGTTTAATTTCGATTCAGTTTTATATTCTTTCTCTCTCTCTCTCTCTTTCTGATTCTTGCCCTAATGGGTTTGTTTATCTCAAATTTTCTTCTCATTTTGAATGCTGTACCTCATAGTCTCATTGTACTTGCAGGGTTTGCAAACTTGTTTGGTGGCTCTCTTCAGCGTGCTTTATTCAGCATTTGTTTATACTGAATCATGGTGACCTCTCTCTCTCTCTCTCAATTTGTTTTTCGAGCTGTAACAGAGAAATTCATTTTACTTTGTTTTTTTGTAGCCTGTAAAGCCAGGGACTCCAATCTCAAAGTTCATTTTAAGGTATTATGATCTCAATTCTGTTGCCTTTGAATTTTAAATTTTTCTGTGTATGAATTGATATATTTAATCATGAATGAATTATCATATATGGAGTCACCAAATGTGTTCTGTTAATTTAGTATTATGAATCTGAAAAATATATGCAATTAGATGCTCTTGCTACCAAATTAAAACAGTAAGTTGCACAATCTTTATTACAAACAGTGTTGACTAGCATCTTGCATTCATTATTTAAGCTAGTTTATCTTATTGCTCTGGAAATCTTTATGTTATACTTTTGATTAGAAGTTGGATATTCTTGATTCACAAAAGAATTATGTAACATAGCTTCTTTTGCAAAGTTGTTTCGTTGAAGGACATGTTCAGGATCTTTAAAAGTTTCAGCACTTTGAAGAAGAATAGGGTAGTTTGCAATAGAACAGATCAGGGACAGTTGCGAACAGTTAAATGGGGTGTTTTCTTATTAGTAAGAAAGATTTTTTTATAAAAGGGGCATCAGACAGATGCAACCCAAATACAGCAGAGAAAATCTGATAAAAGAAAATAAAAGGCCAACAAAGAGGAAGAATATGTTACACAACAAGGTGTCAACAAAAACCAAAAATGACAACAGAACTGTTCTTAAGCCTATGCAATGGCTCTTCAAGCTAATACATTTATTCATTTAATCCATATCCCAAGCTAATGCAGTGTCTCATTACTATTAAAGTATCCCAAATCCTTTATGTGTTGAAGCCAATAAAATATGTAGGCATTGAAGTTTGGCAACCAATAATCATTTGAATTAGTATCCCAAACCATTTGAATTAGTTTGTTATTCTTTCCATTTTTTTTTTATTTTTTATCAACAACAAAATTAATTTTATTGACTAATTAAAAGGAAGAAATGAGGACATTCTTTCCAAGTATTTATTAAACAAAGGCATTTTTCTATTGGCAAACTTTTTAACTGATACATACTGTTTTGTTTACAGGCAGTTGATGTAAAGTCTGAACTTGTTTGCATCCATGATTCTGCTAGACCTCTGGTGACCACTGGAGATGTCAAAAAGGTTTGCTGTCGGGAACTTTGTTCTACACATCTAGTGCTTTGAATGAAGTTGTTCTCAGAAATTATTTATTTGAAAAGCAAAGTTTCTCTCCTCATAATGTTTTCTCATATTATAGTGCTTTTGTTTGTTCCTTTAGCTTTATTTTTTGTTCTTGTATTTTTACTACATAATTAATTGAAGTTCTGTTAAGAAAGATAAGGGATCTGAAATGCTTTTTCTTGTTTTTGATTTTCTGAGTGCACTGGATATGATTGTCTGGTTTACTTTGTGGATGAATGTGTTTGGAGGATATTTTGTCATTATTGGCCATACTTTTTCTTCTATATATATATTTTGTTTTTCTCCAAATATGTTTTTGATTTGAGCAAGTTGTCACTGTTTTACCAATATTTGAATCAACTACTCAGATTAGTCAACCTGAAGCTTTACTGGTACTTTCAAATAAACATTCACACCATACAAATACACACCCTTCTGATACTGAATGGGAATTTTGAATTAATTTCTATCATTGCCTTGTATCTTAGGTTCTTTCTCCAGTTCATTCTATTTTTAGCTCTACACTTAGCAGCTACATCCATGTTTCATTTTGTGGCATTTGTCTTCCGCACCGCAGTTGCTTCTACAACAGCTGGTAGTTTGTTTGTATAGTTTGTCTTATTTTTTAGTGGCTTCATCATCCCAAAATGTAAGATTTCGATCACTCTTCCAATTTGATTTTTAGATGATTATTTAAGAAGATGAACTTAAGCTAAGCTATCTTGTTGCTTGCAGCCTCTATGCCAACATAGTTGAAGTGGGGATTTCGGGTTGCCCCGTTGACATATGGCGAGGTTGGACTTGCTTTGAATGAATTTCTAGCTCAATAGTGTAAGCTTGACTCAGAAAATGATACATTAATGTGACAAGCTTCAAGGCCTACCAACCTCCTGATTTGAAGAGTTTGGAATATTGAGTCTTTTCGTCTATTGCATTACATTACTGTTACATTTTGTTTCTTTTTCAATAAGCAGGACATTTTTTACATTTGTTTCTAGAGAACATCCACCACTTAAAAATGATCTTTTAATCTAATTCCATATTTTTTATTCAATGTAGATTAATTAAGTCTAATGCCTCCTTTACATTGTAGTTAATTCTGTTGAAAGCCAGCGGACAGGTTATTTACTCTGGACCATTGGGTCAGCATTCAAGCAGTGTCATAGAATATTTTGAGGTCAGTTTGCTACAAGAATACATAAAAGAGCAGAAATTGAAGCATTGATCATATTAATTACAACCATTTCTCTCTAACAGGTTACCTCAGGGGTGCAAAAGATCAGAAATAATTACAATCCAGCAACATGGATGTTAGAGATCACTTCTAGATCAGCAGAAGCTCAACTTTGCATTGATTTCGCGCAAGTTTATAAGAACTGTGTCTTGTATCAGTGAGTTCAACTGCTCACCACTTCTTTCTCTTTTGAGTTAGGATGGTCATTACAAACCTGCTTGCTGTGATACAATAATGATTGTTTTATGATAACAATTTTCATTTTTGTGATTCATTTTCATTCATTGTGATTGTAAGAACAATAGAGAGCATGTAAATAGGTGGAGTACTCCACCTCCTGATTCATTTGAACTGTAATTACTACATTATTAAATCTGGGATTCCATTATTATTTTATTGGATAGACTTCTGTACGTGTCTAACATAAATAATCCTTTTATTTGATAGAAATAGCCAACAGAGTGTCTTCAATCCACTTTGTTCAATATTCTCTGCTACGATCTTCTTGGGCATAAATAATTCCTCATCAGTTTTACCATATGCCACAACGCAGCGATCTAGATGTATGGTTCGTGGGCTTATGCACTTGCTCAGGTATAAATTTCTTAAATACTTGATTTTCTCAAAATGGGATCAAAGTTTTAACTTCTTAGTGCCTAAAGCTTCGAAGAGTCAGTTGAGCTATTTCAATGTTTTTGGCATTTTTTGTAGAGCTTCTGGAAATCAATAATGCTTTATGCAGTGGGCTTCTTTATAACTGTCTTGTCCTCCAGAATGCTAGCTTATTGCACTATGATTTTTTCAATCGAATACTAGAGCTAACCAAATCCACCTTGTCCAAATTTAAATGCACGTGCTAATTTTGCAGGTCATGGTTGAGGTTCTATATCTCCTAGTCCACGTGATTGCATTTGTGATCATTGCATATCCAATGATTGGGTATTATTGGTCAGCTTGTAAGGTTTTTTGGTACTTTTATGCCATGTTTTGTACATTTCTTTACTTCACTTATCTTGGAATGCTGTTTGTTACATTGACACTGACCTTTCCAGTGGCTGCAATTTTACAATCAGCCTTCTACACAATGTTGAGCCTGTTCTCTGGTATCTGATTCCTCAACTGGTAAGCTACTAACCTTTACTCAGTGTGGTATTTGCATTGGTTTTAGTTAACACTTGTTATTTTAATTTTTGTGAGAAAAACAATTGTTGAAAATTTGAAAAAGAACTTTTTGATGTCTTCTAGAAAATGCGTTATTTTCATAAACTCTAGAGATGTTGACCTAAGTTGCATTTTATATTGCTTCTTGCAGCAAATTCCCAAGTGGTGGATATGGATGCATTATCTAACTCTCAGCCCTGCTCATTGAACAGTTAGGATCATCGATGTCGGTTATGTGGTGGCCCATAAAAATCTGACATAGTTTAATCCAAATTTAGGCTGTAGAGAAGCCTGATACTTAAAAATATTTGCGTAATAGATTATTAACCTTGATTGTATTATTGATTTCTAAAAGCAAGATCATCGGCTACTATGAGGCCAGGCTTGACACATTGTTCTTGAGATCCTATTCTATATTGCCATGAAATGGTTGTTCAAAAGCATGTTTGACAGTCATCTGTATTATGTATGAAATGAAATTATTGACGTTGGATTAGACTTGGTTCGTATGGAATTTGTATTATATATAGAATTGAACGTTTATTTTTAATGTTTTGGATGGTTGGAACTAGAATGTGTGCACGTTGTTGAATGCTTGATAATATATTTAGCGTTGATGGGTTATATGGAATCCTGTATTATGTACGTACAGGTTGTATTAGACATGCATGTAGGTTGTTTAGAATTTTTTTGGAAAAAAAAAAAAAAACAGAAAATATTTGGCCACCAAATATTTTGATAGCCAAATACGTAGTTGGAATTTTTTGGCGACCAATAATTTAGTAGCAAAAACATTTGGCGACTAAAACATTTGGTAGCAAAAAGTAATAAATAGTTGGTTAAAATTTCCATTTAGAACTTTTAGTGACTAAAACATTAGTGGCTGAAATGTCACAATTGTCGACTGACAACGGATTCGTAGCCAAATGTTAAGTTTCGGTGACTAATTCTTTTGTAGCAAAAAGTCACACCTTCCCCGACCACACGAATGGTAGAAGCCAAAAATCACATTCAGTGACTAATGATTTTAGTGGCCGCAAGCTAACATTTGTTGACTAAAATAAATTTAGTAGGCAAATGTTACACTTTCGGCGACCAAATAAATTTTAGTCGCCAATACTATCGTCAACAGGGTATAGGCGATGAACTTGGCGACAAAACTTCTTAGTCGCAAAATACAATCACCGACCAAATTTTGGACTTTTGGCGACTAATCTTTTGGTAGCCAAAAGTGACATTTCTTGTAGTGGCTGTGTTTAGTTAAATTAAATATATTTAAGGGCTATGTGTTCACTACAAGAATTTACACATTTTGCGACCACTTTTGCCGACCAAAAAAATTTTAGTCGCAAAAAAATGACATTTGGCGACCAAATATTAATTAGTCGTGAATGATCATTATTTTTGGCGACCAAATATTATTGGTCGCAGAAGGTTATATTTTGGCGACCAAAAATGAGTTGGTCGCAGAAAGTGGTATACTTTTGCCGACCAACTACAAATTTGGTCGTGGAAGGTCACATATTTTTTGGCAACCAAAAATTTGGTCGCTAAAAATTTATTTTCGGCAACCAAAAAAAATTAGTCGCCAAATTAGTACTTTTAGCGACTAATATTTTAGTCGCCGTTGATTGAGATTTGGCGCCAAAAGTTTGGGAGGAAAATTTGATTTTTAATGGGGTGGGAATTGAAATTTTTTGGCGACAAATAAATTTGGTCGCTAAATTTAAAACTACGTCGTTTTGTACCATGAAATCCTTAAAAAAAAAAAAAAATCAAATCAAATCGGTGGCCTCTCTCTTTGTTTCTCGGTCCGCCCTCTCCCTCTCTGTGTTCTTCCTCTCAATCGGTGCCTACTCTCTGCCTCTAGGACTTCTCCACTGGCATCGCTGCTCGCCGCTTCGTCGGCCACTCCAAAGATGTCCACTCCGTCGCTTTCTCCTTCGATAATCGCCAAATCGTCTCTGCTTCCCGAGACCGCTCGATCAAGCTGTGGAACACTTTGGGTGAGTGTAAGTACACGATTCAGGATGGTGATGCTCATTCCGATTGGGTCAGTTGTGTTCCATTTAGCCCTAATAATCTTCAGCCTACGATTGTGTCTTCATCTTGGGATCGGACTACGATTGTGTCTTCAGCCTACGGTTGTTTCTCTTCTATCTTATAATCAGTTTTATTGTATAAAGAAAAATAGTTGTCTGCAATCCTGGTTTTTATGCCCATTTGGGTTGCCAGGGTTATATGCCGGAATTTATAAATTTTGTAGTTGATTTCCAAATTTTTTGTAAACACCACCCCCCCCAAAAAAAAAATGTTCTAGTGGTTAATTTTTTTTATTGGTGAACAGTTCTGGTACTTCCATCAAATTCTTGAGCATAGATTTGACAAGTTCACTTTTGAAAATTGATTTGTGTGGTCTATTCGGGGAAAAAAAAAAAAAAGAAGAAGAAGAAAAAGTCTACATATGTTTTGCCCCTTTTCAGTTTGCATGGGCCTAGATGCCAATATTCATAAAAGTAATCTGAGGGTTGGCTACTCTGTGATAGTCTAGAAGAATCTGCTGCATATCTCTGGGTGGTTCTCTGATGAGGGTGAGGCAATTGAATGTGAGGATTTACTCATAATAATTCAATGTTCTGTCATTTTCAAGTTTCCATTTATAAAATATCTACAAACTCTATGTTATTATCAGTAATCTTACAACGGAATACTCAAATGTGAAAGATAAGACTTGAAATCAGAGGTTATTGCTTGTTACTGTTTGAGATGTATAATTTAAGGAACTGCTATGTTCTTTATATAAATTCCCTTGTTTCTGTTGACAACTTTTTATTACTTGGATGAACTTGAGGACTCATTCTTGAGGCCTGAGGCCTTTTTTTGTTACTGCATGAGATGTACAATTTAGTAACTATTATCTTCGTTGCACAAATTCTTTTGTTTTTGTTGGCAGGTTTTTTATTACTTGGGTGAACTCAATGACTCTTTATCGTATGCTCTGGGAGCTGGTCCTCTGTTTGATGTTTCTAAGGATTCAGATTACATTCATACCCTTCTTGGTAAGAATTTTCACCTTGCATCCTTTTGTTTTTTTTTTTTGATAAATAATCTTGCATCCATTCTTTTCCAACATAAAAACTTCTATGTTTACTCCTCTTTTTTTTTTTTTTGAACAGACTTCCATGTTTACTTTGAGGTTTTAAGATCTGCTTATTATTCATTATTGGTTTCCCTCAAATTGGTTACGTGTAAATGCAGTCTGTGAAAGCCTAAGCTAGATATCAACTCCTGATATATGTTGATTGTATAATGTCCATCATGGTTTTGATAGTTGATATTAACTTGTGAAATTATATGGATGAAATTAACACTTTTTCAATGTAGCCTTCCTAATTATTGCTGGCCATGTTCTACCTTCACTCAGCTAAAGCAATTGATGAATATGCCAGTCTCAAGTCAAAGGTGGCAGAGTCAAATGATGAAAACAAAATGGACCCTCAGTTGGAGGCAATCGTTGAGAGAATGTTGGATAAGTAATATTTTCCTAAATTTACTGTCAGGCTACTTGCCTCAATACTGAGTTTCTATTAGAGTTCTTAAATTTAATATTTTCACCCCTTTTTTCCTTTTAGTTTACAATTTGCCTCCAGCTCTGTTTTAAAATTATAAAGGAAGCACTGCCGGTTGTCAAGAGAAGGATTGGTGATTTTGAGGAGTAGATCTTTGATTTTTTTTTGTTTGTTTGTTTTTGAAATGAACTATTACACAAAGAATTCACATTTGCAACCTCTCTTTTGTTTGATGTTTACTTCTACAGTGTTCTGCCCTATAGAAAACCAGAGACAGGCTTTGTTACTGTGACCTTCCTAAATATATGGGCCTTCCAGCTCAGTATTCCCCTTCTAACTCAGCATTCTTACCTTTTTTCGGTTCGCAAATTTGATTAGAACGGCGGCCATGAACTATTTATTGGATTCAGGAGTTCAATGGGGGGGAGCACCTGCAGTCAAGGTGATAAATAAATTATCGGTTCTTTTCTTCTTTCTACGCCTTCTCTGGTGCACACTATTTTATCTCAACAATTAGTCAAGTTGCTAATACTTTGCAGGGTGTGCGAGATGCTGCTGTAGAGTTACTGCCTACACTGGTAGCTGTGCATGCAGAGGTACTTATAATGCATGTTTTGTGTTTGGAAATTTTCTTGTTTTGCTGTCAAATTCTTCCTGCTTTGTTTTCTTTTGTTTTTTTGGCCTACATGTCATGCGTTGTATTTTTTATTTCTATAAAATGAGAAGCCATATCCACATCAGTTTAAGGCCAATCTCTGAAGGTCATACAGTTGTTATCTATGCATTTCTAGTTTTGAGGGCTGCATCTTGGCTAAATGAACTACTGCCCGAATCAATGTTTTTCCATCCTGTTATTGTTATTGCTGTTAGTTTTTTTCTCTGTGAAGGCACGAAAAGGACAAATCACAGTTCATTTATATGACAAAGAGTCTTGAATTTTGTTCACAAATAGTATATAATTCTTCTTCCAATTTTACAACAAATTGAAAATTACATCTTTGTAAGAATTCCCTTCATTCTGCATCTGATCATAAGCACATATTGAAGATCACCTCATTTTTTTTTAATTAAATTTTCTTTAATTAAAAAAAATGAGGTGATGTTTAAGCACTTTGCAAGAGAATTGTCATGCATACTGGTGTGGTGTGACATATGACAATATAATAATTGAAATGGATTTATTTAGTTAGTCCGCAATGTGTGTAGAATAGCTGGGACAGAGTATTATCCATATATAGAGTTTAAATTGAAGTGGGAAGGATTTCAGGGCACATCTATGCGTAACTGTTTTAAATCACATATAGTAGGTTTAACATATATGACTCTTGGGACATGCACGAGGAAATGATAACGAACTCAGAAGAGTTTTACAAGATGGTATAGAGCTTTCCTGCCCTCAGAATTGTAGGGGAATGATGTGTATAATTTTTGGTTATTTCTTCGTTATATTCATTTTTTTTTTTAATCTGGAGATGCTTGATAATGTTTCTTATAGTACTCATATAGATTATCTTGCCAGGTTTTGTAATGTCATGTAAGATGAGTGATTTTGGAATTGATTGTTTTGTTTGGTTAATGCTAAAAAGTCTGTCACTTGACGCCAAAGAAATTTGAGGGTCCTATATATGGGCTCCTGCTGATGACGAATTGATTTTTCTCTATTTAATTATGCATTTTTCTTTCCTACAAGTATGACATAATTCTCTCTATTGCAGCTAAAACTACCCTATCAAATTGTGGCTATTGTTTCCGGTGCTTTGAATGATGCAACTGCAAAGAAGTATGATTTGGAAGGATGGTTTCCTGCATCCAGCACTTACAGAGAACTTGTTTCCTGTTCAAACTGCACTGACTGTCAGTCCAGGAGATTAGAGATTCGATATGGGCAGAAAAAGGGTAGACTAATAGTTATATTTTTGGATGGGTGTGTATAGAAAATATTTGGTAGACTACTAGTTATATTTTTCGGTTGATGTACATGGATAAAAATTTTAAACATAATAACAAGTATTTGTTATGTCTTAAATTTTTATGCTAGATGAAATATGTAGTTTGGAATTATTTGTGGATGAAAACTTATAATAGTTGCTGATTTTAATTAAACAGGTTCAGAAATGGTTGATCTATGTATTTTGTTGAATGTTCATGATTCAATTTATTTGTTGGTTTGAATGATTTTTGCAAATTACAGATTATATTGAATAAATTGAATGGATTATTAAAAATTACAGGTTTATTTTGTTGGATGTTGGCGACCAAATGTGACAATTGGCGACCAAACTAATTTTGGTCGCAGAATGTCACAATTGGCGATCAAAATTTTTAGTCGCAGAATGTGACAATTGGCGACCAAACTAATTTTGGTCGCGAAATGTCACAATTGATGACCAAAATTTTTGGTCCCAAAATGTCACAATTGGCGACCAAACTAATTTTGGTCGCAGAATGTCACAATTGGCGACCAAAATTTTTGGTCGTGAAATGTCACAATTGGCGACCAAATTAATTTTGGTCGTGGAATGTGACAATTGGCGACTAAGAAATTTGGTCGGCAAAAGGCAACTTTTCGCAACCAAAGTGTTTGAGCGACAAAATGGATTAGTCGCAGTAAATAAATATTTAGCGACCAAAAATTTAGTCGGCAAATACAACTTTTCCCGACCAACGAAAATTTTGGTCGCGAATTACTTTTGCCGACCCTCAATTGGCGACCAAACTAGCAACAAAAAAAATTGGTCGCGGATAACTTTTACCGACCAAAAATAGACTTTTAGCGACCAATTTTTTTGTTGCCAAAAATGTTAATTCTTGTAGTGGTTCTAACCATTTGTGCTAACTGCTATTATTGGATTGTAGAAAATTTTGATATTTTGTGAATAATTATTCTTGATTCTATACCAAAGATGCTACGTACACAAAATTTTGCTCTAATGCTATACACCCAACATTTTTTATTGTATGCAAAATGGGGGTTGATTTCATGGAAGTGAAGACTCCAAATTTTAGCTACCCCATTGATGAGTAGGCATGCAGATATTTCTAACAATGAAAGAATAGTATATAAATTAGGTGCAATCACTATATCATTTATGTAGTTCTCCATAAAGATATGTACATATGCAAGCAGATTTTTTTTTTTTTTAATTTATTTTTTGTTATTTGGGGTTGTCTCTTGCTATGTGGTTGGTCCTCCTTCAAGAATCTAACCACGTCACTTTTATATAACTCTTTATAGTTTTAACTCCAAATGCAATTTGTCCATGTGTCAACAAAAAGACAAGTGTCATTTAGGGTTTATCTATAAATAAATTTGTTTCTTATGGATCAAACCCTAGTTTAAGAGGAATACTTTTAAATGGTTTGATCTCTAATTGACACTTATTACTTGTCTTAAATAACTGCTTTAAAAACGAAAAATATTGAGTGTAACGGTAACACATTTTATGTAGTGTCATCGATTAATAAAAAGTTACAATGTATTAAGTGGTCAATTTTTGTCTCCAACTAATCCAAGAATATTGTGATCCTAATCGTAAATTAATAATACTCACTGTCCCGTAATATTACCGTTATATTTATTCTTCTTAGACCTTCTGCAAGAGAAGTTATTTAGTGCCCATGGACAAGGTTAAGTAGTACTACAAAATGATTATGATCGGATAATCCACCATTTTATATTAATAATTGGAAAATAACATACAAGTAGGCATTCTGTCATTAGTTTGTGGCATAATTTTTCCAACCTAATTTCTTTTATTTTCTTTCCAACAAAGAACACATGTAATTTTATGTCAACAAAGTTCTAATGGCATAGAATTTCCAGATGACATTTTCCTTTGATCCAAACAAATCTTTTGCTCTTCATCATGGAAGTGTATAATATATCAACAAAGGTGAAAGAGTGAAAGAGTGTGTTTACAAACTCCTACACTCCACTTAATATATAATTAAATATGAGATGAATAATAACAATGGAAACAAAGAAGATGCAAAAAGAACCAGTATGATCATCAAAAGTGAAAATATTTACATTTTTTTTTTCTTTTTCAAACCTCTACACCATCATTTATACAAATGAACAACAAAGGAAACAAGGAAGATGCAAAAGGAGCCACTGAGAAAGACAAGACCAAGTGAACTACTAACTAAACCTAGGAGCTCTATGGACTCTGATAACATTTCATGACTCTTGTGATTTTTATCATAACCAGTTTTGTAGTTCCAACCATTTTCATGACTGCAACACATGTTCTCCAACCTCTCTTTCTTCCTCACCTCTCTTATTTTCTCTCTTAAAACACTCAAGTTCGCATCCACTATATTTTCCGAGTTTCCTGTAACTCAAAACAAAACTAAATGAGATACAGGTTATAACAAAATGCTACACATACTCAAAAAAATATATAAACTGAAAATAAAACGTGTTGACTAGATTAATCGTCATAAAAAATTTCAGCACATTTGATTTGTGCTGTTTAGTTTGTGAGATACATATGCAAAAATGTGAAATCTTGGATTTTTTTATTTTTTATTTTTTTACTTTTGGTGGCAAGCAAAGTGAATATGCAAACTAAAATTCCTCAAATTGCTTTTTTGTCCAGACTAATCATCTTTGTATATCAAGCTCTCATGAATTCAAACATTCAAACAAAAGTTTTCTACTAATTTAAAAGAGATGGATAGAAAAAACTGAAGTACCTTCATCATGAAAGCTTTGGGATCTCACTCGAGGACATTTCCATATCTTAGGATGCTTGAAAGACGATTTACAACTTAAACTGCAGAAATAATGAAGAGAAGTTGCCATATATGATTTGAATAATGGACTTGCTTGCTCTTCTTAGTCCTAATTAACCTGTGTTTTTATAGTGATGATATATATGTAATCTCATCACTGCAATGTTGTGCTTTGCAATCCAATGGTAGCTATACACACACCATTGCCCTCAATTAAAGAAATTGTGGACATGACTTTATTTTTTAAGTAATGCTAGATATATCAAATCTTTTACTAAGTAGCGGACTCCACACCCATGTGAGACATTTAGTAATTTGTTTGGTAGAAATTTGAGACCCGTGACATTTCTTTTATTTTTTCTGTCTATCTCAAAATAATTATTAAGTACTGTTCGAATAATTTTCTATACTATATGTTAATTGACAGCCCTCATGTGTCTAAAAAGTAAACGCAAAACCGATAGACCTTGTTGTTTAGATTAAAAATTATCAAATTAAAGAACCACAAAACATAAAATTGGTTTAGGAATATTAAATATTTCTTCTCATCTCACTGCCTAAGTAACCGATTTGTAAAAGAGTAATGCCAGAAATCTACATATGGGACTCTCAAACACACCTATAGTGATGTGGTAAGGAAGTAAAGCCCCGCATAATTAAGTATATAACAAATTAAAAGTTGACGTTTATCATTCTACATCATTGTGGGAGGATTATTAGGAGTCTCAACAATTTTCCTTTACGTATTTCTTTGTTTTCTACATTCTATATCTTCTATAGATATCTAAATTACAATGTAATTTAAGATAAGTTTGATCTATTTAATTTTAATTTTAATTTTAATTTAATTCATTCTAATTAATTGAAAATATAAATGGATTGATTAATTATTTGTATATTAATCATTCATACAAGAAACTACATCAAATTTAAATATTAGAAAATATAATACCTCTTAAAAAAAGAAAAAGAAAAAAAAAAAAAAAGAGCAATTTGTATATTAATCATTCATACAAGAAACTACATCAAATTTAAATATTAGAAAATATAATACCTCTTAAAAAAAGAAAAAGAAAAAAAAAAAAAGAGCAATTATATTACAATCTAGGGGTAAGTAAGCTTCTCTTTCATGGCTGGATGCTAATTTAAATCCCTTTCCAATAAATTTTTCTTTTTCTTTTCTATTGTCTGAATTGAGTTTAAGAATGAAAAAAAAAGAAGAGAAAAACTGGCACCTTAGTGAAGATCAAAACCTCAATTCATTCTAATTAAATCTGCATATTTGACCTATATAGGGGAATTGGGAATTTGACAAATATTTGGTCTCAATTCACCAATTCTTAAATTAATTTAAGAATTATTCGCCACCTTACATACGAGGACGATTAGGTTACTAGCCACCTTAGTCAAACAGAAAAATAGCATGATTAACCACCCCTATACCTTAGTCCTAATTATTTATAGCTGGCATGGCACAAGCATTTTAATAGTAAAAGTTGTAATATATTAAGGCCAAGTTTGGGAAGACTAAATAAGTGTACTTTTTGTCTTTTTAGACTAAAAAATTGAGGTTGAAAATATGGATGTTTGGGTTAATTTTTTGACTTTTTATTGAAAAATGTGTAATAAAAAATTGTAAAAATTGATTTGTAGGGAAAAATTTGAATTGGGAGTTGTGCAGCCGTAATTGTTGACTTTTGGTGAATAGTGTTAACTTTTTAGCTTTTTGAGTAACTTTTTGGCTTTTTGGCTTATTTGGGACTTCCCAAACTTAACCTTACTATGTGGCAATGAATTGTTCCTATCATTCAAATTCAATGGATTCAAGTTCCAAAGTTTTACTATTACATGAGTGTTAGATTGGAAAAAATTAATAAGCCCGCCTGTGTGGTCAGTTTATATATACACTAGTGGTGACTGCAAATGCGTACATTTGCAATTTACTTCTTTTTTTTCTTTTCTTTTTTTTTCTTTTTATATAATTTGATGAATGAGTAAGATAGGTTAGATTTGATAACTGTTAACAACTATTTTTTAAAGCAGTCAACTATATTGACATTTTTGAAGGGAAAAAAAAAACATTACAAAGTTTCAAAACCTTTTTAATTGTGTGTTTTATATAAAAGTATAGATATATTGGTTTATACTAATTTATACATTGAATTTGTCATAATGATGAGATAATAATATTTTCTAAATAATAAGTTACTTTGATTAGTTTTTAGTTTGAAATAAATGAATATATATTTATCACATCATTTCATATAAATTTTTTATATAATTTATTATTATTTTTTTTAGATCATTAGTCTTGTAATATATATGAAATTTGTAAATAAAGCAGCTGAAGTATATTAATAGCAATTCAGATACATTTAAAAATAAATGAAGAGATTAAGACATATGAACATGTCCCGACTACAAATTTTACTTTAATTGGCTTTTCCTCCTTATGTCTATGGTATATATATATTTTTTTAACTCTATATTCAATTCACTAGATCAATTAATTCAGAGGATCAATTCTACTGTTTACTAACGAAAGCCATTTAAAGTTGAGGTAAAATCCATATGGACTGTCAATATGTGGTTGATCTCGATCATAGAAATATATTAAAATTAGATATTGTCCATTTCAAAATCCAATTGAAACATTCATATATATATATATATATATATATTGCCAATTAAGATATGGTGAACCGATTAAGGCAAGCTCAGTTGTCAACCACGTACACTATCTATCAATTAGAATGGCAAGGGTTAATCTTGTCAAAATCAACTATTAGTTATTTTATTTTTCATTATGAGGAAGAGTTATTAAGGGTTGGTTTGGCAAGGGCTCATTGGGCTTTTTTGGCTCAATGAGCCATAAAAGACAGAATAGGCTCATGAGTCATAACAGACAAAACATTCCATCTAACCCTATAATCATTACACTCTTCTCTCACAAAAAAATTAAAAAAGTTAAAAAGTCAAAAATCCTTCTCAAATCAAGCTTTTGAGCCCAGGCTCATATAGTCAAAAAAAATCAAAAAACTAAAAAGCCAACCCACTTTTCAAACGGAGGCTAAAAATCTCCGTATCTTTTCTTTGGATCTCCATCATTATTTTTTTTTATTATAATTTTAAAATTTACATTTTATTTTTATCCCTAGTCGCATCCACCACTAGCTTCCAACCACCTCCTCTGCCCTGCATCTGTCTATTCTTAACTCCTCCTACCATCTCTTTACCCTCGACACCGAGATCACCGTTGCCCCGTCCTCTTCGATTACTGCAGCCTATTCACTCTCTGGCCTCTTCTTCTTCCAATCCGTCTCTCACATCTCTTCTTCTCATCCTCTCTCTCTCTCTCTCTCTCTCTCACACACACACACACACAAGAGATGAGGGGTTATGGGTATCTCGGGAAGCGAGCAAAAGAGGGTGGAGGTTGTTTCACACAATATGAATCTTATATTCATATAAAATATTTAATAAAAATTTTAATAAATCTTTTAAAAATTTTAGCACTTTTCATACATTTATATATGGATATTATAATACAAGTAAACTTATCCCATCATTTTGTCTTTCCTCTGCAAAAAAAAGCTGCTAACTCAGATGTATATATCTGCCTCTAGTATGAATACGTGGCCAAAAATGCATGTGTATCACCAAACCACAAAAATAAACAATTCCACTTTATTGTTTATATATATACAGCTCATCTACTGGGAACATGCATAGCATAAACTATGCATTATCAAAAACTAAACACATAAAAATATCTACATAGAATATTTTCTTTTCCTGGTTGGCGTGAATTGATCAGAGCTACGTGGGATAGTTGAAGGTATATCATATGATCAAATCATTGTTATGAAAATAAATAAATGGTAATATTTGCAAGTGCACGCACAGATCTAAAACATCCACCCTTAGATTTAATACAAGTGGCATGTATGTATAAAAAATTAATCATTGTAGGAGGAATTTTTGTCTTCCCGAATAAAAAGTATAGTGATGCTACAGGTCTTGAATAATTGAGGCGCGAATTTGTCTCGAATTTGTTTAACCGGTCATTCGGCAAAGAGGTTGACCACCGCGGTTAATAAGATGGCAACCACGGTAGACAAGTGCTTCACACAGTCGACCGGTGACTACAAATTTGTTCCTAAAGCTCTCGAGGCCTAAAGTATTAAAGTATAAGACAAAAAAAAAATTGTGGTTTAATGACAATTTGGCAGAAAAAAAAATAAAAAATATATTTGATACATACATATTTTATATAAAAAAAATTTAAAAGTAATAGGAGGGTTGAAGGGACGTAAAATTTTAAATATCATCTATTGTATTGTTTGTTAAGTAATAAAATTTTGGATTTCTAATATTATTATTGGCTACTTATTGATATATATCTCGATAATGTTAATTTAAAATCATGAAAGGAAGTGGTGGGCGGAGGTGATTGTACGCCGTTGGATATAATGAGCAGAGATATTGGACTTGTTTGGTTTGCTTTTTGGAGAATTGTTTTTGAAAAAAAAAAAATTCAAAATTTTGTTTGGTTTGTGATTTTTCTTAAAAAAATTTCAAAATCACTTTCTCTCTCTTACACATTAATCAATCATTTTTTTTCTCTCCTCTCTCCGTCTCAATCATTTTTCTTTCATACACACCTACTCAATTTTAACAAAATATAAAATCATCCCAAACTCCAAAACTACTTTCAAAATATACAACCAAACAAATCAAAAAAAATTCTAAACTCTCTCCCCAAATTTTTTTTTTTGAAAATCACTCTCTCAAAAGCAAACCAAAACACACATTGTAACTATATTTAATCACATTTGTCTTCCAAAAAGTTGATGACTACTATAATTTTTAAACAAATTATAATAATTACAATAATAATCAATCCTTTTTTAATATAAATGTGATTAATCATATAATTACAATAATAATCAATCCTTTTTATTTTACAGATGAAAACTTAGAAAAATGATGGATCAGATAATCAAAGTGGAACTTACTTATCCGAACTGAATTGTCCAATCCAATAAGAGGATTGCAGAAAAGTTATATTCTAGCCCAAATTAATATAAACTACGACTCAATGTAACTCTCATTAATAACCTAAATTCAATTTTTTAAATCTAAAAGTGAGCAAGTGTATACGATATGCATATTTTTTTTTTTTTTTTGTGTGTATAGCAAAATTTCCCAATTAGAAACATGTACATGGCATTGCTTTAGAGATATACAAATAACATAAAACATGTCTAATAATATAGTTCTTGATCAAAAATAATTCATGTATTAATTGGTTAGAACAGGAGGCTTGATTTGGTTGTCACTAAAAAATAAATAATGACTTAAAATATTTAATGAAACCGTTAACGAATAAAACAAAACATCATAGTCCATAAAACCTATGGGGTAAATATTATGGTAAAAATATGATGGAAAATATTTTAATAAATCACAAACTTTTAGTTTACTGTAACATGATCAATCATGGGAATTTAACAGATGTAAGCAGCCTAATGCACTTTTGGTTACTTTTTTTACTTTTAGTTAGGCAAATAAAAAGTAGATTAAAAAGATTGAAAATGCATTAAAATCAATCAACTTGTACCTGCATCCACTTCCAATTAATAAATTTTGTAACTTAATTACAAGATATCTACTAAAAAGAAACATTGTTAAAGATTAATTGGGTATTATAGTAACAATGTAATTGGAACATATTTAAAACAAAAAGTGACTTGATTATGTAATTATTAATATTTGATTAACTTAATTTTTTGCATAAATAATTTACACAAATACCTTTATAAGATGAACAGTTCAAATTACTAAAACTGCGTTTGATTTATGAATTTAAATAAGAATTTGAAAAAAAAAAGAAAAAAAAATATATGTAAAATATAATTATATTTTATTCACAATTCACTTATCATTCTTCTTTCCCTTTCTAAATCACACTCAAATTAATAATCAAAATCCAAACACAAGGGAACCACCAAATCCCAACAGTAGTTCTCCACTATGGACAATGGAGACAAGTTAAAACCTTTTACAAAAGCAACCAAGTTAGGTACAATTCACTATTTATTTTCACAAGTAAAATGAAAATGATTCATAATTAAGAGATAAATAATGAAAAAATTGTTAGTAAGAGAATTGATAGTGAAGAGATTAAGTAAAATTATGTTTATTTTTCATGATATTTGTTGGTGTAGAGATTTTAAATTATTTTTATACAAAATAAATATAAAATAATAAAAAAAATACAAAAACATTAAATATTAATGTTAAAAAAAAATACCCAACATGTAAAAAATAAAAAAATAAAAAATTCCAAAAAAAATAAAATAAAACAAATAAAATAATAATTTTTACTTAACAAAAAATACAAAAAATTAAACATTAACGTTCAAAAAAAAAAGCCGAACATGTAAAAAATAATAATAAATAAAAATAGTCCGGCGGACTAAAATTCTAATACCACCTCTCTATCTCAATCCCCTTCCCAAGGCCTATCCTAATACCAAGGAATTATGAATTTTCTCCCCATCTCTCAAAACAAACATGACATATAATGAATCCCATCTCACTATCAATCCCAATCCCCTCTCTATAACCCAAACAAACAGGGCCAATAAGATGGTGTATGGAGATTTTTTTGGGAAAGGAAAACAATTGTCTCACTTTTGTGTGCAACTGAATCGTCATAACCAAAGCATACAAGGAGTCTGATTCAGCATTTTAAAGATCCTTAATACAAAATAAATCTAAGTGCAACAATGATTTTACAGAATAGGTCACATATGTCAAACCTTTTGTCTCATATCGATGTTTCATTCTATAAAAATCTGTGTTCATAACATAACTGTACTTCAAAACCGAACATGAAATTATATCTGAACTGAACATGGAAAATTGAACAAAGTAGCCCGCAGATTTTACAGCAACAAAAGCAGATTCAGAATATATATATAGAGAGAGAGAGAGAGAGTTTAAAAAAACAAAAATCTAGAGATGGAACGGATGAATACTCGAATTGTATCCTCAAATAGCCCTAAATTTATTGACAAGCCTGAATTGTATCAATTCTACATTACCCCAAACCGCATACCTACCAGGTCAAGAAGCAACAAGCATTTGCAACCTAACTTTCCTAACTACAAGGCGTTGCAATCATACACTGATGATATACACAGGCCTTCCAAATCAATCCTTAGTTAGATAACTACATCTGGATTTGACGGGTCTCGATGATATATTAACATCGTATAGACAGTATCTGTACTCACAGGTCCATGTCGTCAAATATTTCCCCATCTTCCTCGTTACATAATCCCTCCGTTACAAACCCATCTGCCACCAAATTGCTGAGAAACAAAGAGCAGTTAGTCAAATAAAATAAAATCATAACAGCCAATGTAATAAATGAGACATCAATGAAAACAAAACAAAAAAATCACCTCAAACAGCTGAAACGGAAGCTCACAACACGTTTAAGTTTTCTATTATAGAAAAAGAAAGTGAACGACCATCTGAAGAAAAAAAAAACAGCTATTACTACTGCAGTTACATCACATGACTGGCAATCTGAGACAAATAGTACTATGAACCTTACATTGCTCCTCTTTCTAGGAATGGGTCTGCATCAGATTCTGGATCGTAACTGTAAATTTCACATTCCGCTAGCTTCACAACCTGCATTTCTACATATATCAATGTTTGTACCGGGTACAGCTTGCATCTACTTCTTTTTTCTTTTTTTTTCAAATATGCTCACCTCATCAAGAGCCTTGTACAAGGTGTCAAGTAGGGGACTTCCCTCATTTGCCTCAACCCACTCCTGTAGCCAAAAATTAGAAAGAAAGCTACATGAAACACTTGAAGGTACTAGAAGCTGATCATAAATTCATAAAAAATCAAAATATCATAAATGTCATCAGGTTCTGCATTTTATCACAAATAAAATCTTACAAATCACACTTTCTCCACCATCACTTTTCTGCAATTTATGCAATAACCAGTAAGAAAACAATTAACAACAAAATTACTAATAAAAAATAAATATAAAAAAAAAGGGAAAATTTATTTTACCCTCCCTTTGTGTGGCCCCAGAGCGCTTCAGCCTCCTCACATTTAAAAATAGTCAAAAAGGCCCCACATGGTTTTGGTTTAAAGTCCAGTGGTTTTGAGAAAAAACTGCAGATTTTGGGGTAAATCAAAGTGATGAGAAATTATCAATGACTACAGAACAAGCACACACACAGACAAACAATTTACGTAGTTCAGAAATATTTTACGTCTATGGGCAAGACAACTAGAGAACTTTACCATGGAGGAAATAATTTTACAGGTGGATTCAACTATTTCTTCATTGTTCAATGGCTTCGTGGTTGTGGAGTTTCATTTGTTCACTATTTGGGATTGCTTGGGTTCAACCAAAGGGGGGTGTTGGATATGCTTTGGGCTTGGCAGGGTGCTCAGATTGGGCGTCGGCCGGTGGATGTGGTTGCTAGCACCGTTATGTTGATGTGGTTTGTTTGGTTGGAGAGGAATAGATGAACCTTTCTAGAGATTTATCATAGTGTTCTTTGGTTAGAGAATCGTCTTCTTGTAGTTATGTGTAGTTTGTTGGAGAGTAGGGTTGATCCGGATATATTTGCCTTTTTAGATTTTCTAGATGATGTGATTGGTTAGTGGTTGCTTCTAGTTTTCCCCTAATCAGGGATGCCATTTTGTATTCGTTGCATCACCTTGATGCTTTCTTAATAATATTAGTTTATTTATCAAAAAAAATAAATAAAATAGACCCAATAATATACCCAAGCTCTTGTATACCCAACCCACTATATAAAAAACTCATTCCATGTTTTCTATGTACTGACTCTATTTATTTTTCTTACTTCTCTCCTTTATGTATGTTAAAAGACTGAGAAATAAAACCCTCTATTTATAGTCGAAGCTCCAAAAGCTCCAAGGACCAATCTTGCTGATAGAGAAACTCGAGGGTCTTGATTGTAACAGTGCCACTCAAGTCAAGTAGCCTATGCATGAGTATATCCACGCATTAAATGCTCCTCCCCAGAGACATGAATCTCATTTTATCACAAAAATTAGCCACTCACGTGAGGCATTCCAACAATTCTCAACTTGGCAAACATTTGAGACAATTCTCCAAAGCAAAAACAGTCTAACCGTCTTCGCACCATTTCCAATCAGGTCCTATCTATCTCTGCTTCTTTTTCCTTTCTTATCTTCTCTCTCCTCTGTTAAACCTATATGTATATATATTATATATATTCCTAATTTTTTAACCTAAATGATAGCATTTTTAGCCTAATTTCAAGAGCTTAGTAAAAGCAGCTCAAGCAGTCGAAGTAGAAGCAGTAGCTACAATGTGAATACACATGGAATGGATAACAGAAGTCCGAATCAGGGAACATAGAATTCATTTTCTTTATTCCAGTCTTTTTGGCACATTTGAGTCCACCTCTTACAATAATGGAACAACTGGAAGCAACTCATCAAACGCACAAAGGATGGAAGAGGGGGCGGAGGTCATGGAGGAAGGGAGAGGGGTTGGAGACAGGTGGGTTGTAGGTGGTGAGGACGTGGTTGGGAGTGGCGAGGGTGGTGTAGGAAGGGAGAAGGTGGTAGATGGAGAAGCGAGTTTTAGGATTAGGGTTTTCATATTAGTTTGGGGAAGAGGATGAAAATAAAGGCGTGTTTGTCATTTACATTGTATTTTGACTTCAACTTAATTAATAATGGTAGAGAGGTGAAGTGCCAAATGGCCAAAACCACTTGAGGGGTTTCCAGCTACTTTTAAACACAAAGGGGGTGAAGTGCTCCAGGCCAATAAAAACTGCTCAAGGCTCTGTACCTCAGTGGTGCCAGTAGAACCAGTAAACACCAGAAATGTATATGTAAGCTAGACAGAAATTCTAATTCATACAGCATAAAAGCAGAGAGATGGAAATACCTTTGATGCTTCAAACATGTAGGCATCAAAAATCTGCTTAAAACTGTCCCAGTTTTCCTCCATGAAAAACTGATGAGCTTTCACTGCACTGGTAAATGGCAAAGACAATGGTAATGTGTGGCACAAAGAAACTATATAAAAGCCCATATGAATACATCAGTAGCATGTACGGTATTAGTACTACAAGACGCTATCCAACTGCAGATCTAGTTTTGGGAAATGGAGAGACTTGAACTCTCAGCTCCTCTAAGAGCAACAGTTCTCTGAACTGTCTGTCAAACCTTTTGACAACACTCCCAATGCCGTTCAGAGAATTATAGTGGGTTGCCATGCCGCCCATAAAGCTGACAGTAGCATTACCCATAACCCTCCTTTTCAGCTGCTCATAAAAAGTGCCCTATTTTATACAAAAGATACAGAGTTACCTGAAGTCATAATCTGGATACATTTGATAGAGAGTAAGAATCAGGTAAATCAACGTCTTTCGGCTGTAACAGTCATCAAGAAAGAGTTAAAGAAACATGAAAAACAACCTACTCTTTGTAGACCAATTAGGTTGCATTCCCCACCTTGATCTGCTACACAAATATTCAACTGGCGATGGAGAGTCATTGTCTGAAGACTTTCCGAGATAATCAAGAATCTGGATTGAAAAAATAATATATAAATGATAGAAATGGGAAGAAGAAAAAAGGGGAAAATGTTCGACAGAATCAAATAACTTTAATAACTATTTTATTTTGCAGATTAGAGGGGATGGAGCAAAAATATTTGCATTTTGTCCTGATCAATCCATTGTTTGGTGTGCAAACTGGGGTGTGGGACTATAACCCAACCAACTGCTTTTACCACTTGTATGGGGGATATGGTATTCTCATTTGGGGGATTACCCCCAGAACCTTCAGAACCCTACCTACCCCACATTTAATACGTAACCTACCTCCCTCTCAGGCTCTTGTCTAGAAGAAGACTATAGTAGTTGTGGTTTCACTCTCCAATCTCTGCGTCCCCAACTCCGGTAAGAAAATCATCACTGTTTAGTTGATTTACCGAACTAATATGAAAAATCTCTCTTGAAGAGAGAGACAGTTGGCTATAGCGCAGAGAGAGAGAGAGGAGGAGGAGGAGGAGGAGGAGGAGGAAGCCTAATCTCTTCTAAATTTAGCAGGGACTGTGTCTATGTGAAAGAGAGCCTGTGGCAGTGATGATCATGTGTGAGAGAGAGGAAAAAGAGAGGGGAAGGACTGAACAAGCCTAATCTCTTTTATGTACAATATATTACAACACATTTCTACATATGTCGTAAATATATACATATAGATATATGTGTGTATGTATATACACATATAACTTCAATTGTATAATATAGAATATTTAAGTAACTTAAGCCTATAATCTGCTTCCACAAACCTACCCCTACTTGATAAATATCTCCCAAACTTGTCCCAATAGGGGCTGAGTGGAACGAGTACCCGATGGATCAGGTTAAAAATGCATCCCTATCCAAGATGCAAAATCATGACTCCTAAAACTTAAATTTCAAAATCTCACATGAACGGACTAAACAAAACGAGCGAAAGAAAAATACAAACAACAAAAGAATCCTCAGCTGCATAAAATTATTTAAGCATAAAAAGGTTGAGCTATGTACCAAAGATATAATAAACTTCATAAATTTAGATTACCTCGTGCTCCAAACTGAGAGATAACTTCTTGTCAGTTCCTGTATGTTTGCCTAGCATACACAGACACAAAAAAAAAAGGAAACAGATTAATTTTACATACTTTCCCGTATGATTGCCTGGGAAAAAGCACAAAACAAATGAAATATATGTCAACTCAAAATTTAACAAATAAGAGGGAGGGGGGGTGGAAGAAAAAGGAAGTAAAAATTATAAGTTGTCTTACAAGAGTAAGCTTCAAGGCATCCTTTGATAGTACGCTCTCCAAGATTCACAGGCATCCTTTGATAGTACGCTCTCCAAGATTCACATGACTCAAGAAATCATTTATTCTGGAAAACATTGTTATCACCACTACTTATTACAAAGGCAAACCAAACGAAAAAAACAGTAAGTCAAAAAAAGAAAGTGATTCCCTCGGACTCATTCTTTTGGTCCACTATTCCATTTTGGATGTCCTAAAATTATTGTCCATTTTGGAAAGTTTAAGGTATTTAATCTAGCCAGCGATTTTATAATATTATCCTTTTGTGAATATAAAAAGCACAAACATGGTGACAAGAAAACTTTTTTAAAATGCAACACACGACACATGAGAAACATGTGCAAAATATATGGTTATATTTATTTTATGTCATCACATGAATATTCATTCAAACGTTAATAGAAATATACAAGAAGACACAAATTTCTAAAGTTTAAAGTAGGGGTGTGCAAAAATCTGAATTACTAGCGAACCCGTCCGGACCCTTTTGACCTGCTAGTGCTACGGACGATTTCAACCACTTTAACGATCGGCTGCGGTTATGTTTTGAAAATTTCATCTATTTTCGGTCGGTGATCGAGTTTAAACCAAAAAAAAAAAATTATTATACCGACCGACCGAATTATATACAAATATATATAATACACTTTCATTATTATTATGTCAGAGCATTGATAAAGGTATTACCTTTATCTTAACTCAGCCCCACTATTCAAAATATAAATATTTTTTTAATAAAAAAAATATTTCCAAGATACACGTCTCCCAAGTGTTGAGACATTAACGTCTCACCAACCTCTTTGTCTCCCTCTCTCCTCAATTCTCTCACCCACTCTCTCTCCACTTCTCCATTACCTCTCTCTCTCCCCCCCTCCCCACCCAAAAGACTGTAAAACATTAAAATCTTCTCTATCTTCTCTATCTATATCTCTCTCTCACTCTCACACCGACTAATCCCATCCCTCTCCCTCAATTCTCGTCTCTCTCTCTCTCTCTCTCTCTCTCTACCTGATCGAACACTAAAATCCTAATCTTCAACTTATAAATCTACCGAATCTGAAACTTATCTTGCAAAAGAGTGTTGATTGAAGAGATGCACAGTGGGTAAGGACGATGGTGACATTGTGCTCTGGTAGAAAAGTAAGTTTCTCCTCTCTATTTTCAATTTTGTCCACTGTTTTCTATCATATCTAGTGTGTATGTAAGAGAGGTAGATTTGTATAGTATGTGGGTGAGTTTGTTTTGTGTATATTTGTTTGGTATTGATTTTGTAGGCGAGATGAATAGAAGTCATAAAATTGAAATGGTGAATGAAAATCACTCGATCGAAAATAGCCAACCGAACCGAACACCCGATGTACACGGTTTCGATCATTACCTTGGGTGAAATCGGATGAACATTTCTCTACCCGAAGCAGGCCGGTTCGAGTGATGGTTCTATGATAAAACCGAGCTGACTCGACCCGTGCACACCCCTAGTAAAGAATAATGGATGATGGTATAAATCTATATTGTTTTTCTTCTATCATTAGATCCTAAATTACTTTGTTCAAACTTGTATTATGTTTTATAAGTGTCTAAACGATAGACATGTATGTCTCTCATGTATCAGAAATATATCCTAGTCTAAAACAAAAATACAAAACAAATAATATTATATTGTTTGGACATGTATCCAACACGTATCGTGAACTGTCTGATGAGTGCTGGAAGCAAGGTTTTAAAAAGTGACCGCAACCATTACGTAACAGTTGTGGTGGTTACCGTCATCCGTTACGCCCGCTTTTGCAATGTGATTGAGATTCACAGGTGTGTCGGCCGTAGCGACTGCCGTAGCAGTTGTAACGGTGTCGTAATAGCCGTAACGACCTGTTACACACTGTTACATAACGGTTTCAAACTGCTTCTTTTGAAAAAACACACAAAAAAAGCTGAAAATTAGGGAAGAGGGATAGAGAGAAGAGGGAAGATAAAGAGAGAAGATGGAGGAGCAAGAGATAGAGAGAGAGAAGAGTGAACATGAAGAAAATGTTATTGATTTGTTGAAACTGTATAACCTATGCTATTTTATTCAGCTGCTATCACTCAACTATTTTCTTTGTGTATCTATATATTGTTTGAAAATAATAATAATAATAAGTGTGGTCATTTTCTATTTGGCTTGGTTAAAATATGTATATATATATATATATTTAGGCTCTTATTTATTCTCTTACTTTTGTCATTGTTTATTTTACATATAATAGTTAGTGACTGATTTTTTTGTATAATATAAAGTCATTAATTATTAAAATAAAATGTAAAAAACTCAGTTTATAGTAATTTAAAAATATGAAATATGCTGGATCATACTTAAAAATTTATGAAAATTAATCAATACTTATTTTAAACCCAATAAATATGATCAAGGAAAAAAAATATGCATATCGGTAAGTTTTTTTCAAATTGTGCAAAAAATAAAAAAAATTCACGGTTTCGGTTATCACAACCGTTACGTTACGGCCTTTATACCCTGCAACCGCAACCGTGCCACCACCACCGTTACAGCGATTGCAACCGCTTTTTAGAACCTTGGTTGGAAGTGTTTGACAAGTGATGGTGTCAGACATAGACAGACAACCTTCTCAGAAATAATGTGCTTCTTTAGTGTGTGAAAGCATTTAATATAGTAAAATAAAGGGATATTTGAAAAATTTTAAACTATAATAGTTTGGTGTAAACACATTCCATGCATATCACTCTAAGAAGTTAGCATTTTCATAGTGGACGAAAAGAATGGGATGAAAGGGGAATCTGATGAAGGAACTGAAAATGTATTAATATGTTTTTGTTTCAATCAGTGTTGTGAAAATCATCTCATATCAGTCAGTACATATATACTAGTAATAAAACAATACAAAGGGAGCTTAATTCCATTTAGGGCTTAGGGTTTAGGGGTTTAATTCCGTTCAAGCCAATTTTTTGAGCTTCGACAGTCAATACTACGTTGTACAGAGTTGTAACGGTCTTTTTTTACTAGTATTGATATGCACCAAGATAATTAGTATTTAGTCATTTTTAGCATAGTAAAAAAAAAATAAAAAATTTATTAATATCTCAAAATATTAATCAGTAAAGTGTACAAACTGTATGGGTTCTAGTGCTTCAAATTGTTGTAAAAACTAATTATAAATTACACTACAAATCATACTACCTTTCCATGCATTGTGTGCTATTAAGCGTTACAAGCTATTAAATACTAACAGTAATATGCTATTTAAAATTAGAAGTGGTTTATTTTAGGGGGTTTTAGTTTAAGGTCCTTGATATTAAGATTTTATAAGATAAAGGACATGAAATATTTTCATAGTAGTTTGAGTCCCTCAACATTTTCATAGATAAAGTTTGACACAGAGAAATTTCAGCAGAGGGCAATTTCTCTTCACAGAGAAGTTTTAGCTCTTCAAAGAGAAATTTCACAGAGAAATTTAAATTTCTCTATGACTAGCTGAAATTTTGCTAATGATATTATTAAGGGATCTTAACTAATAAGAAAAAACATATTGGATCTCTCTTACTATCAAAAGTTAGACAGGAATGTTTCACTAATTCCCCCTTTATTTTGTGAAAACTGGAAAAATATTGTTAGTAAGTAACTAGTATATTTAGGAACGTTTATTCTTTTTCTTTCCTTTATTTATTTATTTTTATTTTTTCTTCCTTTTTTGACGAGTAACCTCTTTATTTCTACCCTTATAAATCTAAAACACTTGATAAGTACATAATTACTATAGCGATAAATCCAAAATGGTACACCGAAATGTACCAATACCAGTATGTATTGTACCAATGTCAAAAACGATACATTGGCTGGTATGGTATTGACAATAATGGTTTCAACTGGACAGTTTAACAATTACCGGTCAAGGGGAGTGTATTCCAAATACTTCATGTTCTGTGTATCAAATGAAGCAATGACTTCAATATGGATGGTGTAATATGTTCCCTGAGATCCTGCATTCAAATTAAAACTCCTGATAGTTCAAATTCACAAGCTTTTGCATGTTATGAAAGGCAAACAAAACACTAAATCAAGTTGATTAAACTTATCATGCCACTTTGTGTGAATACATTTATGGAGTACGGAAGGATTTATAACTAGTTTAAAAATGGAAAATCTCAATCGATGTACTTCAGTTCATAAAGCTTTCTCCAAATAACATCCACACTCTCTACTTGAAGCAATTAACTATGCTAACGTTGATACTTGTGTCAAACAAAATTATAAAATGAAACAAAGACAATATCTATTAGCTTAAGCAGTATCTATCAACTCATCTACAGAGCAAGTTAAATTTGATAGTTTTATCAGAACAAACAATAGAGCTGCAAGTGGTCTTTATAAAACTAATTTGTTGTGAAGGGATCTTTTTTGTTTTTTTAATAAGTATCAGGGATCTAATGGACAACCAACTGAGGAACTCTTCTCTATAACTATACCTATACCTCGAGATAAAACCAGTAAGTAAAGCAAACAAAAGAAGAAAAAAGAAAAAAAAAAAAAGAAAAAAAAAACATGAAACATAAAAGCATAATATGAAGTAACAGTAAAGAATTTTCAAAGAACTGTTTCATTCAAATTTTCCTTTTACAATTCATCACCTATTATACCCTAACGAGGAATATTTTCGCAATCTAACCAATCACTGCTTTATTTGGAACACCTTCTGATGTAGTTGAATTAGCATGGTTGTTATGTTTTAGTGTCATAAGAGTTAGTTAGAGGTCTTTTATCCTATAAATAGGTGGTTAGGCCCCTCTAGTATTCAATTTATAATATTTTGATATTGAATATTTCAGAGTATGAGACTCTTGTACCCATTTTGGGATATTCTCTCTCTAATGAAAGCCATTTCTTGATTTGGCTCCATCACCTTCCATTCAACAAGGGCAAAACCTCACATGTTCATGGTATACATCTTAGACTCATGATATTGATATGTTCATTGTATAACCAGCATCCAGATTAAACAAGCCAGAATTAAACTTGCAGAATTAACAATTATAATCCATAGATAAAACTTTCTACTTGGTACTTGTATAGTGCAAAAAACTAGATACAAACAGAAAACTAACAGTGATGTTCTCTGGCTCTATTCATGGCTTGGTCACAAAGAACCAAAACCAAACTTAATCTAAGCCTCTCTAGTATCTAAATGCGTTCTCACTAGTTCATTAGTTCATATACATAAAAATATATACACACATGTGTACAGATTATTTTTCCGCCTTATCATGCTCTATCTTAAAAATTACCTCACCCATGTGCAGGTGGATTGCACCCAGAGGATTAGACACTGAAGTCCAAATTAACAAGTGCAAGAAAAGAGGTAATACCTTAAAAAAATTGAATCAACACCATGGATTAGATATTGTGAACTAATAGTCAACTTAGAGTTCCAGTCTAAACCTGAGTTCGTACAAAAAAAATTCATGAAATGTTATTTTTCTTCTTTTCTCCTTTTTCACATTTTAGTAAAATAGAGCCAACACCATCTGCTTCAAAATAGGAGATACCAACATAACAATGTTCCTCCCTATCAAAAATAAATAAATAAATAAACATAACAGTATTCTTCTTGTCTTTTTCCTTCACGAGTCAAAGTTGAACAACCCAGATTTCTCAAATTTTCCTTGTCAAATTATAAGGGTAAAATAGTTCCAAAAAAAAAAAAAAAATAAAAAATTAATTTTTAAAATAACCTTAAACATTTGACCATGACCAAGGGCTTTAAAGGTAAATTCAATCAACCATAGCTATTAAAAAAAGTAAATACTCTAATATATTTTTATTTTTGTTAAAAAAATAATATTTTTTATTTAATAAAAAACCCCTACAATTTTACACCAAAGAAAAACTCATTTTTTAAATTCATGTGTTTAAGAAGATGAATAATTGATAATTAATTAATAATTAAAGAATAATTACTCACCGATCATTTTTGACACGTAATTAAATTTAAAAAATTGAATAAAAAGCTCATAAACAGCATAAAGTATTTTTTCTGTTGAGTAAAAAGTTTACAAACAGTAGAAAGAATTTTTCTAGGTTTGAAGGCATCTCTATC